CTCCCTCTCTAACCCAGGGATCACTGGACAGGGATCGGGAGCAGGATGCCTGGCTGATTCCCCCCCTGCCCTCTCTAACCCAGGGATCACATTGAGGTTCTGTTGGGATCATGTTGGAGATCTTGGGGGTGTCACAATGAGGTCAGGGTACAGTTCAGTGGGGTCAAGGTGGGGTTAGGATGAGGTGAAGGTTGAGTCTGGATGAAGTCGGGGTGGGGTTGGGGTGGGGTCAGGTCAGGAGTTACTCACTGTTTGGTGCCAGGTAGAAACAAGCCCACCATGTGATTGTCCTTCTCCTGTTGATTGGTCACATCTGGTGTGTGTGGGTTCTGGGTGCTCTCAATGGCCCTGTTCATGTCTGATTCATGGTCAATGTTCTGCTGGGCCAGTGTCATGGTATCATCGTCAGGGTAAAGTTCTCCCTCACTTTCAGCTGATTCACAATCGAGAAATCCACTGTCTGTACCAGGAGCACCCTGTAGGGAAACACACCAGTACATCGGAGAGAGAGGGACAAGTCAAACGGAATTAGCTCACCGGTAATCCAACAGACACAAATTCAAAGAAATAAGCACTAAACAAAAAAAAAGCAGGAAACTGCAGATGCTGGAAATCAGGAATAAAATCAGAATTTTGGGTCCAGTGACCCTCTGTCAGAATATTGAAGAACATTCACTAGACTCGGAACATTAACTCTGCTTTCTCTCCACAGATGTTGCCAGACCTGCTGAGTTTCTCCAGCAATTTCTGTTCCTGTTTCAAAGAAATAAGAACGTGTTATAAATAGTGGTAGCAGTCTGGAAATCTGAAGTGAATCTGGAGTGAATCTGACGCTGTTTGTATCTGGGTCAGGTACAGGATTTAAACTCAATCAAAATGGGCTCAGTTTTGATCATTGGAGCCAATGGTATGTTCTGGGTGGACAGGGGGAACATTAATAAACAGAGAGAGAGCAGGTCACAACAGGCTCTACTGGAATTCTGAGCTCCTGCAATGGGTTTGACACTTCAACAGGAGCAGGCCATTCAGCTCACTCAGCTAGTTGTGGTATCCAATTGGATCATGGCTGATCTGTATTCCAAACTCAATTTCCTGCCAAGCTACAAATCCCTAACTGACAAAGCTCTATCAACTGTAGGTTGGAAAATATCTTCCAAAACCCTCCAGCATCTGCAGCGTTTTGTTGGAGAACGTTCTGGATTTCTGCTCCTCGTTATGTGAAGCTGTTAGGCCAAAGGACTGCAGCGGTTCAAGGTAGCAGCTGCCCCCCATCTTCTCAAGGGCAACTAGGGACAGGCAGTAAATGCTGGACTAGACAGTGATACCCACATCCCACAAGTGAATAAGGAAAAAGAGTGCCATGTCCACACTTTTGGAGGGAGGTGAGGGGCTTTGAGCATGTGCAGAGAGATTTTCCTAGACCAGTTCCAGGGAGGGCGCTGGGTTGGAGTTTGTCGGGGAGCAAAGGAGATTAAGGGAACAGGATGATGTCAAGTGTAGGGAAACAAGGCAAAGAATGATCCCATTTTCTGACGGCATAAGGACGACTGTATAGGGGTTAGAGTAAAAGATCCAGGGGGGTTTTTACACAGCGTGTGGGAATTACTTTGAACTCATTGAGTTGGTTTCATTTATTATTATCACATGTACCAAGATACAGTGAAAAGTATTGTTTTGCATTCTACCCAGACAAATCATACCTTGCGTAAGTGCATCAGGGTATTAGAGCAGAATGCAGAATACAGTGTTATAGGTACAGAGAAGGTGCAGAGAAAGATCAACTCGCATATATCAGAGATCCATTCATAAGTCTGATAATAAAAGAAGCTGTCCTTAAATCTATTGGTACGTGTTTTCAAACTTTTGCACCTTCTGCCCAATGGAAGAGGGTGGAAGAGTATAAGTAAGGCGGGAGGGGTCTTTGATTATGTTGGATCCTTCCCCTAGGTAGCAGGAAGGTTGGACAGAGTCAGTGAAAGGAAGGCTGGTTTGTGTGATGGACCGGGCTGTGTTCACAACTCTCTGTAAGTTCTTATGGTCTTGGGCAGAGCAGTTGCCATATGAAGTTGTCATGCATCTGGATTGGATGCTTTCTGTGATGCATCTATAAAAATGAGTAAGAGTCATTGCGGACTTGCTGAATTTCTAGGAAGTAGAGGCGTTGGTGCGCTTTCTTGACTGTAGTGCTGATGTGTGTTGCCCACAAGGATGGTGAAAGCAGAGATAATCAGGCTAGGAACCTAAGGAAAATACACCTGCATCCCCAAGAAGATTGAGCAATGGGAATGACTCCTGCTCAACAGAGGCCCCTATGAGTGTGCTGGGCTGAATGGTGTATCTCTGTGTTGCAGTGCCTCCATAACCCAAGTGAATCTGAGCTGCTCCTTCTTCAAGGCCAATCTCTCCTTCCTGAGGAACGAGGTCTGGAACTGAACCTACCGACTCCTGGTGGGCTCGGAGCAGAAAATTTTAACAACACAGGTTTCACTTCCACCCAAACCCAATGTGTTCCACAGTCCCCACATACTCCCTTCTACCCCCCACCACCCCCTCTACACCCTAAGCTCCACCCACAATGATGAGGCCATGTGAATTTATGGAGAGAGCACCATAGGATCTGAAGGATCAAGGGTGAACACCCACGAAGTCTCAGTTAATGCTGATCACATCAACAGAACCTGGAACCAATTGTTGAACTGATGATAAACTGCAGCCTCTTCTAGTTAGACCAGGCAGTGGTTTTGCCCTCCCACACTAGAGCAGGTCATGCCATCTCCTAAAGAGGGTGGTATACAGCAACCCATACTCTGTACATACATTCAATCAATCAAAGGAGGAGGCCATTCAGCCCCTTGAGACTGCTGATCTGTTTCTAAGTTCCACATTCCCATCTATTCCAATAACCCTCGATTCCCATCCTCATGAGAAGACATTCACCTCTGTTCTAGAACTATCCACAGACCTCAGCTCCACCACTGTCTCAGACAGCATTCCAAAGATGCACCACCCTCTAAGAGGAAACAATTTTCCTCATCTCTGCCCCTAATTTTAAATCAGTGTCCCCATGTTCTGGACTGAGCCACACGAGGAATCATCCTTTCCACTCCCACTCTCATCTTGTCAAGACTAACCAGGATCTGAAACACTTCAATCAAAGCACCCTTCAATCCCTAAACCCTGGTGGAAACAAGCCCAGTCTGCTCAGCCATTCCTCATTAAGCAATTCCAGGAATCAACCTAACAAACCTCCCATAGAACCAACTCCACCACAATCGCATCCTTCCTTCAGCAATGCGACCATTACAGTACACAGTATTGGAGATGGATCTCACCAATGCCCTGTATAATTGACTCGGTTAGGATTGTTTTCGCTCAAGTTCAGAGGAATGAGGGGGCGATCTCATAGAGACTTATACAATTCTAACAGGACTAGACAAGGTAGATACAGGGAGGGTGTTCCCAATGGTGGGTGTGCCCAGAACTAGGGTCACAGTCTGAGGATTCGGGGTAGACAATTTAGGATGGAGATGAGGAGGCATTTCTTCACCCAAAGAGTGGTGAGCCTGTGGAATTTCTTACCACAGGAATGATGTGGAGCTGCTGGTGTTGGACTGGGGTGGACAAGGTCAGAAATCATGTGACACCAGGTTATAGTCCAACAGGTTTATTTGATCATCGCTCCTTCTTCAGGTGATAGTGTTAGTCAGACACAGAATTTATAAGTAAGAGACCAAAGGGTCACACCATGATGAGAATGTATTAAACAAGCCCGAGATGCTGTTATATCTTTAGTCAATTATAAGGTTTCAATTGATTACACACACACACATACATGAATCTATGGGGTGAATGTGTATTTGCAGATATATTCTATTTTGTTCAAAAAGCACATAACTTATAGACAGTCAGTCAATGTGGTGTTTTATAAATTCCTACTTTAGAAATAAAACCAGTCTGACTGCAAACCAAAACACAAACAGATTCTAAGCAAGGCCTCACACCTAACCTGCATTGTCTGACCTAAAATGTCATCTCTTCTTTACACTGATAAAACCTTTAGTTCTCACAGGACAGTGACTTGAAAGGAATTCGGGGATTTACACATTAATCAATTAAAACCTTCTAACTGATTAAAGATTTAACAGCATCTCGTGTTTGTTTAGGACATCCTCATCATGGTGTGACCCTTTGGTCTTTTACTTATAAATTCTGTGTCTGATACTCCCTGTCTCACTAACACCTGAAGAAGGAGCAATGCTATGAAAGCTTGTGTTTTCAAATAAACCTGTTGGACTATAACCTGGTGTTGTGTGATATCTGACCTTTGCCACAGAAAGTAGTTGATGCCAAAACATTGAACGTATTCAGGAGGCAGCTAGATGTAACACTTGGGGGTGAATGGGATCAAAGGTTACGGACACAAAGCAGGATTAGGCTATTGCGTTGGACGATCAGGCATGATCATGAAGAATGGCAGAGTAGCCTTGAAGGGCTGAATGGCCTCCGACTGCTCCTATCTTCTATGTTTCAATGTGCAGCATAACATCCCTTACTTTTATGTTCAATCATAATAAAGGATAGCTTTTCATTAGCCTTCTTACCCACTTTCATCTTCTGTAATTCCTGAGCCTCTTTCATTCCAGGAGAAAAAAAGTCAAAATAAGGCACAAAGAGTCAAAACATGTGGTGTTGTGCCTGGCATCAGCTCTTCATCCCTCATTAGGAGAGGATCCTGACCCTGTCCCGGG